AGACACGATATTAAAGTTAGGGAGGTCAAGACTGAATTCGGAAATTATGTCAAACGTCCTTGATCTTTCAAGATTTCTATCCCGGATGTCGACAACGTTGACATAGTTCACCTTGGTTTCACAGTATCTCTTATCTTCCTCTAATTATCATAACGCTTTAGCGAGATTCAGAAAGTTCTGGGGACTTCTATGTATTCTTCACGAAACGTAAAAAACACTAGTTAAACATTGTTCGTTACTTTGAGAAACTTATGCGTTTAATTGAAAAATATTACTACACTATACTTGATTTATTTGGTTTAGTATTACTTAATTTTATATTTACGAGATGCTACGTACTCAATTTCAATAATCAATTATCGCTTCCTTATGTGTCCGCAGCGGTGCGTTAAATCACTTTCTTAAAGCGAGTTCGAGAACAGCAAACGATACAAGTCCCGCATAATACACTGCTAACGGCCTGCTGTCGACTTGAGAACTTTCGAAGGGGTGGGGGGCACGCAGAGCTTGCGGCACAAGCTCCCCCGCGACGCATCGGCATTGAATCATTTTTACGTCGGAAAGTTTTGAAAAAGCCCCGAGCGGAACGCGAACGAGTTCGCGACCATTTTCGAGCGGCTAACGACGCGATCGTGCGACAACTTCGCAAACAACTTTAATTTCCATACGAAATCACCATATAACCAGGTCGAGTTGTATCGGCGATGGTTACTGCTTCTGTACCGACCTAATGTTCGCAGATTGAATTTCGTGCGTACCAGGGATTCTAAGAGAAGAGCGGAGGGTTCCTTAGAACAATAAATAACGATGGAGATAAAAATGATTTTGAATCACCGTCGAACTCTCTTCATTGAACTTTCTGTGATTAATCATGGTTAGCGATACGACAGCTATTGTAAGAATTTTCCTTCAAGGAAAGAGAAGTTCCATTGGGAACACCAATGCAGTATCATTATTTACCGCTTAGATACTTAAAACGATACGACTCTGCTGAAAAGTTTCCATTCAAATAACGTAACAGTAGTAAACTGCAGTCTAATAAAAACTATAATGCTTCGAATAATTATTTGAAGAGAAATACCGAAATGTCATAGTGTTTTGGAAACAAGTTCTTCAAAAAAGACTATAAAAAGTTATACAAAATGATTGCTATCGCCACGGCTTGCGCTAGTTTCTCTGCCAAAAGAATGATGTACGCTAAAAGTTGTTGAACGCGGAAAGAATTATATTTCTAATTTACTTATTTCTACACGAGGTTGTATCGCGGTAGTGGAGAGTCGCGCGACGCGACGGCAGAAACCGGAATCGCAAGAAAAACAGAAAGAAAACGGAATCGTGGGAGTCTAGTGAAGGGGTGGGGGAGAAAAAATAATAGCCCTCGAACAAACGGCACCGCAAAACGTCGCGGGGCTCGTCGAAACTCGAGAGCCCATTGTTCTCTTCAACCGGCGCTTTGCCTCCCTCTTCGCGGTTAGAAAGCGAAGGAGGGTTTGAAAAGCACGCGATTCTTTCATGGAACGACCTTGCTCGAAGACGACGACGATCAAACGGTCTCTATTTCAAGCAGAAAAAGTCCTTGGAAAAATTGATTAGAAATAAAGTAGAACTTTATAGATCGACCCCTTGTTCAGTCATAAAGATTTCTAATAAACTTCGTATCGTCGATTTTCTTCAGTGAAGAAGGCACTTAAGGAAAAACGTCTTAATAGTTCAAAGAGAATTCTGATGCAATAAGATGAGAATCTATGCCACTCATTGAGATGTTCTATACTCTGAGAATAATATTTGAAATAGCATTGGGAGTTCGTAGGAACTTATTGCGACGACACTATTGATATTTCATTGTTTTCGACGCTCTGCCAGATTATTGCGTCAAACATTTGCTCAACGAATGGCACACGCTTGTTTCCAAGAAGTTATTGCGTAGGTGGATACGTGGACGTAGACGTGCGCGCAGCTGATAACGCGCGTTGTTCTGGTTTCAGTCGGTTACCCAAATCCGCTTAGAAGCCAGGCTTCAGTCATCGTGGCGCTAATACGTCAATTACTGGGAATAGTCCGTTTCGAATTTGCTCGCTAATATCGCGCGATAACGATGCTAACAGTCACCGCTGCAAATCGCTTTCCGAACGACTGATACTCTTTAGATCCTCAAAACCGGATAGATCGTTCCGAAGATTGTGATTTGACTTCGTCGCTTGAAACGGTTTCAAATACGTTTAAAGTGTACAGAGGCTCTCATTGAAATTCATCAAAACGGCACGATCTAGCCCCTCTTCGGTCACCCTTTATTCTCGGAGATTGGTGCCCGGAGACTCGTACGATTTCCGAGCTCCCTGTTTTCTTCTCAAAGGGAAGTCGGTTCTCGTCAGCCTCGGAGATGCAAGGAGATTCCGCTCCGCGCCGCGCACTGATATCGTTGCCCCGTATCTTATCACGCGGGAGGACGAGGAGGAAGAGGACACTACTTCTCTCGAAATTGCCTTCGACGAAACAACGTCATGGAGATATAAAAGCCTCCTCTCGGTAAGTGGCTCGGTCCTTCGGGAAAGCCGGTCGTCTTATCGGCAGACGAGCCATGGTAATCCGTTGGAGATCGTCGACCAAGAAGAATAATTCGACGTCGATAAGATTGCGTTGAGAAGGCAAGAAAGAGAGAGAGAGACGTAAAGCGTTTCACGGAGATGTTCGCGGGGATCCTTTACCCCTCGGGATCCTTTGTCTTGAATATTGAATACGCGAGACTCGCGTTGAACAGCTCAGTCGCGGCGCGTTCTGAGTATTTCACGGTTCTTACAGTGCCTATTGTTTCCTGAAACAGAATTTTAATGTTTAACTCCTTCCGAGTGAGTTCCAATATTTTTATAACAATAAAATTTCTAAGCGTCGTACATGAAACACAAAGTAAAATTTTTCTCTCGGTACAATTCCTTGTCCATTCTTTTTATCTGGAACGAAAGAATCGTCGCGTAAATTAAATGACTAAACAGAGTAGAAATAATTCAACCTCGTCCTCCCTACTTGACTAACTCTTATAAAATAGAATCGTAATCAAGTGGTTCCATCTCACGCGCGACCCCAAAATCCTCATAAATTCACGAGATCGCGGATCGGATCAGATAACAATCGATTCGCGAGTAATTTTACCGGTCCTCGTGTCTTTCTGCAGGGCGTCTTAAGGGGATTCTTGGTTGATCCATTAACCATTAGCCGTGTCGGGAGAAAAGGAACCGATTTGTGACCACCGATGGACAAGCCCTCGGGGAACACGTGGAGAGTGGTCGTCGCTGTGTACAACGGTTCATCGCTCTCGACGAAACCCTTTCCATCGTTCGAATCGAGAAAACAAACAGCCTTTTACTCTCGTACGAAAGAAACTACTATGAGACTGAATTCAATTCTTCTACACCGACCAGTGGATGTTTCCTGATCTCTGGAAATCCATCGAAGTAGAACAAAATAAGCTTCGAACAGATACTTATCGATTTGCCTGAAGAATTTCAATTGAAATTGTTGGATAGTGTATGAGAAAATCAACTATTTGAAATTCATGTACTGAGCTAGTTTGTATAAATGTGTCGGTTGTTACTTCCAAAATCACGACTAAAATAGAGAGCCAAAATTGAAATTATCGCGAGTTCACCCGAGTTTATATAAACATTGTACGTGATAGGCACGTCGAGCTCGGATCACCTCCGGGGATTTATACGCGAATATAAAAAAAAAAAACGATGTTTTCCACTGGTTTGTGCGCCCTGATCTCCCCAAGGACAGGTTTCGTGGAAAACGATTTCCGTGGACCGTCCTCGAATTTCACTTCCTTTCCGCTCCACAGGGGATTTTCTGTTGACTAGCTGTTGGTAGTGAACTTTGAACCTTTCGCCGAATAAGATTTTAAAAATAGAAACAACGAGATTTTTAATTAAGTAACTAATCGAGTAACACCTTATTTCAAATATGCTGGGTTCCCAGTACTTCTTTACTGTAATAAAATTCGATTAAATGTCAAACATTTATAATGTAGAAGGCTAAAAAGTTACCCGAAATTACCAAAGTAAGATGTAATTACGCGAGTTCCAATCTGTGTCTGAGTAGTGCCGTCCCAATCTACTTACAAGACCGTAGCAGCGAGAGTAAGAAAAACTGAAACAGACGAAACAGCAACTCCTGAGAATCACTTCGTACGATCGTTTAGGTTTCTCAGCGACGAGTTATGAATCCTATCTCGGACGACCTACCCCGAGCAGTTTAATTATAATTGCGGAACTTCGTAAGTTCCGGCGGGGCATTCATCAGCCCCTTTATCTTCCGTGGAACTCGTGCCGAGGCTATTAGGAACGAAAGAAGAATATTCGAACTTCCTGATGGCCCGCGGCAACTTTCTCTCTCCTCTGCTCTCTCCCTCGTCGAGCCTCCGGGCCTCATCGCGTGGTCCTCATTGAAATCGACGAAAAAGAAATCCTCCGGCGACAAAAGACGCGGCGACGACGCGACGTTGGAGGATCTTTAAGGGTTGCGAGGTGACTTCGAAAGTGGGTAATAAAAGTTGCAGAAGAAGTCGCTATGGGGCTGGCGTGTAACGGCTATAAATCATACATGACGCGGCCTTGTTTTTCCATCCACCTCCCCGAACCCCAAACCGAGGCTGAAATTTTTCTTCGCGGATTCACCCCGTATCGACGTCCGGATATCGGCGGAAGTTAGGATCGCGAATACGTATCTGACAGATCAAAGAATGTTTTATGACTGCACGTGACGGTGTTAAAAGATCGCTCTACTACCGGTTGCACGATTTTACCCAGAGGAGGATTTGCTCGATAAATCTTTGTGTCTGCGAAATAACAGTGACTCAGGCAACCGAGTGATTTAGGCAACTTCATACAAAAAATCTTAATTTATTACATATATAAAAACAGTTACACGTAAACGTACTAAATCATACTAAATTTTGCAATTAATTATTAATCATTTATTATGTATACTATTACTTTTTGTTTCAGATTCGTCGCTACTGGTTTCGGCTTGCCTACGTATCGACATCGAAGTTCAGCGGTGATTGCATCGCTATTCCATTGAAAACGCGTCGCGATTATCGTTCGAATCGCAATCGCGCCGAACGCGCGCGGCATTCGATACCAAGTGCATGTGAAATTTCCAGTTGCACGCCCGCGCGCGCGCGCGCGCGCCCGGCCGTTTCCACCATTCGGCTCGTCGGGGATTTCTGTTTAAGATTATCGGCGAACGACGCCGCTGCCATCCCAGCTGCACGAAAATAGTGGAAACGCGATCGCGAAACAGCTAACCGAGGCCCTCATTCTAGCATCGTAAGCTGTTGCGCTTCAATTGCAGATGCGTAAAATCAATGGGTACGATCGGCCGCTCTACGTGATCCAGCTTAAAATTTTCGCTTACGGTACCGTAAAGGTAAGTGTACCAATAAAAGCGTACATAAAATGTATAAGTTATAGGAGACGAGAGTTAAAACGTGCAGCTTGAACGATTGTTTGTAGAATTAATTTTTAGAATTAATTTACTATGAACAATTAATTATGTTTATGTAGCCTCGCTTTCTCGTAGTGGAAATACAGTAATCGCTTCTCGCGGCGCAAACGAACCAATGCTAAAAGCACTACAAACTCGTTGCATGTAAATACCTACCTGATTTAATCCCACGCGAATTTCCGCGGAACTCTCGTTACGCTCCGAATTTTTGTGGCATAGACGCATGGAACCAATTAAAAGCGCGGCACGGAATTACTGTTCGTTTGATGACTTCATTACAATGATCGATGCCGCGTTGTTTTAAAGTTGTAATCATAGGACTGATAATTGAGTTGCTGGAATGTTAAATTGGTCACTCTATTTTTTCTTACCAGTGCTACAAGTTGATAAATTGTCTCGTCGCGAGCTCATAAATTATTAACTTTAACTAAACAATTTTAATTATTCAAGAGTGGCGTTGTAAACTACGCAAGCTATTCTTAGCAAATTGTTATGAATTATTGTTGTTTAATTGTGATATGAATTTTCCTGAATTAAAATAATTAACTATATCTAGACTTGACTAAAATTCTTCCGATAATTAATTTTCACTATAAAAATTCATCCAATAGTAATCAAACTTTCATTCTCTCGAAATTAGAAAATCTTCAACTCATTTTAATTGACCATCGATCGAAGTTCTTTTAGTGAAGAAACTCTCGTAGTTCTAACGCTTATTCCCTTAAATCAACCTCATCTCTCGGGTTGATTGGACGAACGATCATCGTCAACGCGTCTAATGGACTCCAAGCAGGAATCTCTCCGCTTTTTCCCTTTGCCTCGTTTGCTTCCCCAGGTTCTTTGCACAACAATTGTCCGAATATACATATGTAGACGCCATACTTGTAATCTTCAATCATTTTCAAGAATTCCTAATAAATGAAAGCCTTTAGATTTAATCTTTTATTTTGTTAAAACTCCAAATAGATTACTGAGTTTCTTGAATATTGGTATTAATATAAAAATAATTTTCTTTCTCGTATTCGCATTAATTCTCTGAATACTATTTTCACGAGGAATCGTAACGACGCCAGATAAATTGCCATTGGTTCGTCGTCTTGGGCTCTTTCTGGGTCGTCTTCCTTCATGCATCACGGTAAATCGAGCGAGCCTCTCAAAGCAGGTTTACGGGTCTCCCGTGAAAAATCTCCGGGGACGGGAAAAACCGCCATAAAGGGATCGATTTTCCCAGGTCCCACGCGCGAATTCAAACTATACGTGAACGTATTAAAATATTGTGACCCAGGCTAAAAATGGACATGACACTTTCTCTATCTAAAATCTGTCTTGGGGTATTTGAGATTCACTCAGTCCTTTATTAATTTATCATTTTAATATACAATTGAAGCTATTCAAACTCGTTACCGAAGGTACCATTTTTTTAATCATGACGAACTGCCTAATTCATGATCCGATTAAATTAGATGATTTTCACATAAAATGATTGGAATGGTTTGTTAGTGGAAATACAGGAGAAGAATTGTTTCCTCATGAATGAAACTTATGAAACGGGCAAGAAAAAATGTGTGCAAGAAAATGGGGTGGAGTCCTGATCGATATTAATACACGGCTCTGGCTCCCGCGGGAGCGGACACGAAAATTATATCGTCGTCTGCCGCTTATGAAAACAGCCCCGTAAACTTCGCCCCGCGGTGTTCCGCGTATATATCCCATGTCATTTCGAAGCTTGAAATAAACTAATCGTGCATTTGGAGTTTGTATCCCGTCAGACGCTAGAATTTCGTTAAAATTTTCTCCAAGTTACACGTTGCATTATTATGTTATAAGAACGTTTGTAAACAGCTGAAAGTTTCTTGTAAAGGATTTGCAGTGCTCGTCGAGCAAACAGCCAATCGTGGTACCAAAAGGAAGAGCCCTGGTTAAAATCTATGAAAGATGAATCTTCCCGAGCTATATTAAAACTGAAATAATAATCTTTAAACAAAGCCAAGCGAGACCTTTGAAAAGGCGCTTCGTCGCAGAGACCGATATTAATCAGACGAGCCAAGGGACCTTCCCTCAAAGGCAGAAGACCTTCAGAGAATTAGACCACCGTTGTAACTCGATATCTAGCGTTAAAGCGGAATAGTACCCGGTAACTAAGTACCCAGCACTGGGAAACGTATTTTTAAATTTCTCGAAGAAGCGTAATTATACAGGCACAGCTGTTTGCTCTCTGCTCTGAAGTTTCGGTGATGAGACTAACTTAGCTGCGCCGTGATTAGTCACAAAGTTGTATAATGATATCTACAGGCAATAAATATTTTACTTCCTTTGCTATTCGAACTATCACAAGAAATTAGTTTTATTACGAGATAAATATGAATCTCCCAGAACACAAACATACTAGAAGCATGGTTCTGTAAACTCAATAAATGTCCGGTTAACTCTGATATATTACAGCTCTTTCTACCACTCTCGATTATCACATATTGCAAAATCAGGGTTGATAGTTTTTCCAAGAAACGTAACATGGTATATTTTCAATCCCATTACTTGGTACGAGAGAAACAGACGAAAATAAAACTGAGCGTGTCCTGCGCCGTTGTCTGGAGTATTTTTAGTATGCGACCTTTGACTCGCGTCATTTTTCAAACATCGTTTAGAGAATTCTGAAGATTTTCTCACGAAAAATCGCATCTCCGTATTGTTGAACCTCGGAACTCCAGGGAAATCGAAACGGCGAGACAAATAGAAAATTGCATGCAATTCATGTTCGTTGACGTACGTCTGCATATTTTCCTGTTGTAGATTTACGTTGTCCATCAAAATCTTAGCACAATTTTTCTAAAATAATTTACGATTAAAAAATTGATAAGAATTTTCTGCGAGCCTCTTTCAAAGTAGAGCAAGCGTCGATATAAACAACATTAGTGTTTCCCATAAACTAAATTTAACCTGGGTAGTGGAGTAGCGATCTATCATCAAGGAGAGACGGGAGGCGATCAAAGTGGCGTGAGAAATGTAATTCCGAGAGGTAAAGGGAAGGATCAACAGGCACTGACGCGAATCATCCCTTAAATGGCTGCCTCGCTGCCTTCGAACAATTCGTTCGAGTCGACCGATGAAAAATTCAATCGGCGAAATTATCTCGGCTCGATTCCCCCGAATAACTACGCGGGAGGGAATCGAATCGTTGGATAATTCTCCGGCGATGCGATCGAGCCTAGCTTTTCGGGATGAGAAGCGAGCCGATCGATCTCAGATCGCTTTATGGCTACCTCTTACCCCCGAGGTTATTTACATTCCCTTTGTAACAAAATGATTTCTAAAATAATATTGTTTAATTGTGATATGAATTTTCCTGAATTAAAATAATTAACTATATCTAGACTTGACTAAAATTCTTCCGATAATTAATTTTCACTATAAAAATTCATCCAATAGTAATCAAACTTTCATTCTCTCGAAATTAGAAAATCTTCAACTCATTTTAATTGACCATCGATCGAAGTTCTTTTAGTGAAGAAACTCTCGTAGTTCTAACGCTTATTCCCTTAAATCAACCTCATCTCTCGGGTTGATTGGACGAACGATCATCGTCAACGCGTCTAATGGACTCCAAGCAGGAATCTCTCCGCTTTTTCCCTTTGCCTCGTTTGCTTCCCCAGGTTCTTTGCACAACAATTGTCCGAATATACATATGTAGACGCCATACTTGTAATCTTCAATCATTTTCAAGAATTCCTAATAAATGAAAGCCTTTAGATTTAATCTTTTATTTTGTTAAAACTCCAAATAGATTACTGAGTTTCTTGAATATTGGTACTAATATAAAAATAATTTTCTTTCTCGTATTCGCATTAATTCTCTGAATACTATTTTCACGAGGAATCGTAACGACGCCAGATAAATTGCCATTGGTTCGTCGTCTTGGGCTCTTTCTGGGTCGTCTTCCTTCATGCATCACGGTAAATCGAGCGAGCCTCTCAAAGCAGGTTTACGGGTCTCCCGTGAAAAATCTCCGGGGACGGGAAAAACCGCCATAAAGGGATCGATTTTCCCAGGTCCCACGCGCGAATTCAAACTATACGTGAACGTATTAAAATATTGTGACCCAGGCTAAAAATGGACATGACACTTTCTCTATCTAAAATCTGTCTTGGGGTATTTGAGATTCACTCAGTCCTTTATTAATTTATCATTTTAATATACAATTGAAGCTATTCAAACTCGTTACCGAAGGTACCATTTTTTTAATCATGACGAACTGCCTAATTCATGATCCGATTAAATTAGATGATTTTCACATAAAATGATTGGAATGGTTTGTTAGTGGAAATACAGGAGAAGAATTGTTTCCTCATGAATGAAACTTATGAAACGGGCAAGAAAAAATGTGTGCAAGAAAATGGGGTGGAGTCCTGATCGATATTAATACACGGCTCTGGCTCCCGCGGGAGCGGACACGAAAATTATATCGTCGTCTGCCGCTTATGAAAACAGCCCCGTAAACTTCGCCCCGCGGTGTTCCGCGTATATATCCCATGTCATTTCGAAGCTTGAAATAAACTAATCGTGCATTTGGAGTTTGTATCCCGT